AAATGTGCAACGTGTTTATGTGTCAATCAAAATTGAATCGGCGTATGACATATTTTTTACCATTTATTAGACTGACGGACATTTATGATCATTCGTTACGTCATTTTAAACATTTTTAAGAGATAATTGTTAATGACAGGCCACGCAAGTTTGCTCGGTTGTGTACTAAATTTTTATAATGTCGTGAAATTGATTTCGCTAAATCGTGAAAATTTGCCGCCGCATTTGTCGGAACAGGCGCGCTGGTTTTAGAGGCATATCTAGGCATACCAGTAGCTCGATTTTGTAAATGAAAGAAAATTATAAAATAAGATTATTTTACTTTAATATGTTAGGATGGAATCTCTGTTTAAGGGATAAATTATTATCGAAAGTTGTTGAAATATTAATACTTTACTTTGTTTGGCTTGAAAATATATAAACTCAGGTTCGGCAAAAAGGCACTGTTGCGCCGCATAAAAGCAATTTACGCTTTATGCATTGCGCCTAGCCGCATAAACGTGTTCACCACTATTATGCGAGGAAAATCACCGCATCAATGACTTTGAACCCGTTTATGCGACAGGGCTTCTACGCGGCGTCACAGTGCCTTTATTCAGCTGCGAAGCATCCAAGTCTTATATGATTTTATATAACACACATGATTTACTGCGGCACTACACGATTTATTTTGCGAGTTCCCAATAAAACCAAGTAAATAAAAAAATGTCTCGTACATAATTTTAACACTTTGGGGCACATTTTAAATTTCTCGCATTGTTGCAAAACAATTTTATTTTTTATTTTTGTCAAATGAAAAGAAAGTATTTTCTCATGTCCGTAAACATCCAATGGACTGGACGATTTCAGATTTTTATGTATAGGGGGTAGGTAATCGAGACTAAATATCATGGAACTAGACAATGATGACGCATAGAATCTTGTTACCTAACCTGTCTGGATCTAAAAGGGCACTGTTTTGTATTGGACAAACACGCAAAATGTGTTATATTCTCATAACACAAAATGTATATCTGAAACTATCCAACTAAATTTTTTGCCTTAAAACTAGAAAACAAGTTCGTTATGAAGAATTGTATATTTTTTTTATATTTAACGCATTAAAGTTTTGATCAGACCCGTTACAATCAAATAAACCGTGTAAAAGGAAATATTTTACTATTATAATTATACTATAGTAACGATTCCCCTTTAACCCAGTAAAATGTTAAGATCAGATTGTAATTTACAACTTCGTGGTGTAACATAGTGATACATTTTTTTGTGTTTTTTTTACATGCTGTTAAGCAATTTGGTAAAACTGCCTTTTAAATAATAGTTTTTCATGCCTATCCATCAAACAAATGTTTCGCAGCCATTTTACGCTTGTATAATTATATATATTATAATAAAGTATTACATTTCTGTTATACCTAGTTGGTGTTATTGTGACGTGTGTTCTTTTCATTGGTCAGAAACCTGTTTGTAGTGCAAAGGACAATGCTTCAAATAGACCGACGGTGCGGAATGCCTGGGTTACATACAAGTTGTTTGAAATTTGTTCAAATTCGCATAATAAATGATAAAGTTATAGAATTTGACCTTCAAGTGTGACCTTGACCTTGACGCGGTAGGGACCTTGATGCTGCATGGGACACAATATCTAATGCCGGTGAACATTTGTGTGAAGTTTGATCAAATTAGCATAATAAATGAAAAAGTTATGGAGCGGACACGAATTTAACCTTTGACCTTCAAGTGTCCCGCGACCAACTATTTTGATATTTTTCGTCCGTTCCACTGTATTAAATAGTAATATGACACATCACGCAGTAACAATGTGAATTCACGCGGCTTATATTTAATTTCATTTTGTTACCGATGTAACCTCTGTTAATGCGATATATGTATTTGTGAAAGGTTGTTTTGTTACAAATATAAATGGAAACCAATCGGTCAATGTGCCTGATCTGATTTGACTTTTCCACCAAGTGCGACATTTAGCGTCAAGGGGTTGCGACATTTAGCGGCAATCGATTTTTGTGCGACATATAGCGGTAACGTTGCGACATTTAGCGGTAGGCGATTGCGACATATAGCGTTTATTGCGACATATAGCGTCAGCGTTGCGACATTTAGCGTTAGTTGCGACATATAGCGGCGTTGCGACATATAGCGTTGCTACAACGACAGCGCGTCGTTTGGCGCTTTGTCGTGTTGTCGCTAGCGACAGGACGACAAGACGAAAGAAGGACAACGCGATGTCGCCCTGTCCCTTGGCTTATATTAAGACAATTCTTCGATTTGAACCGAGCGACAATATGACATCGCGACAACACGCTGCACTACAACGCACCGTTTGGCAAGCGCCAACACGACGCACAAAGGTGTTCCAAATCAGCCACAATAGTAAGAAGACACTTTTAAATAACCGTTACTTTCCACATGGATTAAGTGCAGTTGAAATATACGGTGTCCTTCCTGGGACAATAAAAGGACTGCTATTGACATGCTCGATTTTTTCTAAAAGTTTTGTCCGCCTTTCTGTATTTTTATAGATAAAGTAGCAAGATTTTACATTCTCGCAAAATACTTTTCGCGCCATTCAACATTGAATTTGTCGAAAAGTTGAACTTTAAACAAGAGATTTAGTCAATCTTTACAGGCGATATTTAACTGCCTAAAACTGGACACTATAGAAACCGATGGACAGTAGTGCGCATCTCATGAAAGTATCCAGTTTATCGAGAAATTGGATGGCCATTTCCAGGACCAAAGTAACTGATGATTTTAGCATTGACAAAACTAACAGTTGTTCGTTGGAAGATGGTACAGCACTTAGTTTTTTTTATATCGTCTGACATTCTATAAAAAAAACATTAACGTGGCATTTACTGTACCCACCGGCCCACACACCAAACAATCAACTGCCATAAACGGCTGAACATTGCGTTAAGGTAAGCATGTGAATAAGGAAACTACTAAATTTGGGGTCCAAAACGTAATCCATATAACATTGACGCAAAACAAGTTAGAGGCGATTTCAATATTGACTGACATAATCGATTTTAGTAAATTTGACACTCTGCTAATTTATGACAATTTCAGATTTTTGCTCAAGGAAACATGGCGCCTCGACAAGCGATGCCAGAATTCCAAGTCCGCCGTTTCAGTCCTTTGCTAGAAGTAATTACATCTGCCACAAGTAATTACCTTTGCAACAAGTTATTACCTTTGCCACATAGAAGTCTCTGCTTCGATTCCTCACTCTTCCAATGTATTTACTAAAATTCTTTAGTTATAACAATATTTTATTCATAAACATTTCATTTACATGATAATTGACAAATGTTAAATTGCACGGATGAATTTTTTTAGAAACTCTCTCCGTAAGCACTATCTCAAAGAGTATGTATAAATGGTAACAATTGTACATGTATATGCATATTTGTGTTAAATATGCATAACATTTTCACTATAAACTTGCTTCTTTACATGCATAATAAAGTCAGCAATATGCACTCAGGTTGTCCTAATCGAACCGATCTTAATAATAAAGTAAAGACTCAGATTCTTTCGAATGTGACCGTGGTCCCATGTGTTTACGCCGGACACACACAGAACCAGGTTTGCTTAATTCTAGAACTGACAAGTCTTTATGCATTTTCCTCCGGTTTGTAAATAATTAATATACATCTACATGCTTCGCCCAGATTGACAACAATAAATAAATACAAATAAGATTATTCAGCATTAGGTTAATCATCATAATGTCATGCAAGTCTAGCGCTAATGTTTACGGTGCCCCAATTTTAGGTACGGACCCATGATAAGGTACCAAGAACTCGGTCAGTTGTCACGCTTTTATGACTTTTTTAAGAAATTAAACAGCTTAAATTTGTGTGCAATATTTTTTGTATACATATCTTTGATGCTTACAGTTATATCAAATAAATATTTTGATTGACAACATAATTTTCTCCTTTTAAAAGTTTTCCAAATGATCATTTTACCCAAGCCAGCTCTAGCTGTTTTCATTAAAACAAAGAAATCGTACAAGTCTTTGATAAAAACTAGATGAAGACATAAGCTTCAATGATCATAATATTCCGTAGACACACTTTTATGAATACACTTGCTTCAAAAGTGTGATTTTCAGGTCGTTTTCCATCATACATGTTGTGTTTCGGTGTTTGTTTTGTCTAAAATGATACGGTGCTGCACGCAGGATGATAAATTATCGACGGTACGCGGAAAAATGATGCGTATACCCTTGACATCGTGATTAATAAAAGTTGTGATGTTTTAAGAACACCGTGGTATCCATTTATCTACCTTAATGTACTTAATGTGTTAAAGCATGTTTTGTTTTCATACTTTGAAGACTGAATACTGTTTTTAGGGAAATAATGACCTGCCATGTATCTCTCATTTTTACGTAGGACAGAACAATGTCTAGCTAATATCTTTGTCACCTGTTCTTTTTTTCTGGCTCAGTCTTGCATTTTTGATTGAGTGAATTGCAGTTATTTCTCTTTATTTGCAAAAAGGTTCCAAAAGTTGTTACTGACATGAATCAGATTCAGACGTATTTCATTTTTTTGTTATAATTTTGAAGAGATTAAGTCTGCAGCTGACAGAAGAATATGAAACAAATTGAAATGTGGTATGTTTATTATAAAGACGGTTAAGACATAATTGAGCCGCGTCACGACAAAACCAACATAATGGGTTTGCGACCAGCATGGATCCAGACCAGCCTGCGCATCCGCGCAGTCTGATCAGAATCCATGCTGTTCGCTATCAGTTTCTCTACTTGTAATAGGGTTGGTAAGTAAACAGCAATGATCCTGATCAGACTACGCGGATGCGCAGGCTGGTCTGGATCCATGCTGGTCGCAAATGCACTATGTTGGTTTTGTCATGACGCGGCTCATATGTTTGATGACCTCAGTCTTTTCAGCTGAGCACAGCGTGTATTTGTGTTGTTTTTTTTCTGATTATATCTATAGATTTCCATTTCCAATAAAGTTGTCCGATGAATTTGTATAAGAATTAAGCACTACTGTATAAAACACTGACAGCAACAAGTTTGATCAAGACATCTGCAATGAAATTTGAAGGCTTAGATGCTTTTGAAACCATACTGGCTTTGCATGATTTGAAATTGTCCATATCAAATTCTGTGAAGCCACAAATAATAGAAGAGTGGCATTCATCATTGCATGCCTCGGCAAGATTTTTAGGGGGAGTAACTCTGTTAAACTTCCAATAATTCTTAAACTCGTTACTCGATGCTTCCTTCATTTTCTCTGCAAGATTAGATAAGTCAGCTGCAGTGAGTCTGTCAAGTCCGTAGTGTGAACTGGTCTTGTATTCTAACTCCCACATGGCGGCTCCATTTTTGTTTGCCTTTAAAAGGTCAAGGTAATATTGTTCAATTTCAAGATGGACGCCTGTTGACCTGTCATACTTTATGAGTCGGATAGCTGGGTTACGTGAAGGAGTAACTGACGGGGCAACGAAAATAGGTACAGCTGTCTTACCTATGAAATAAATTGACAAGGTTAGTAAGAGCAGAATTGTTAATCTTTTAAATACAAATTAGTTTTTTAATATTTAATCGGTTGTTGTAGATGACTGAAATTATTGTCACTAACATTAAATGGGCTTAACTAAGAATGATAATAATCGCTGAACTGTCATTTTTCTTAAGTCTCATAATGGAATGTTCAGAACCAAACTGTGCATATTTAGCTAGTACAAAGCAATCAGAATATCTAACATGGACATTTTTGTTAACACTCGCCAAGACACAAATATACATGTACAATTGATAAAAAAAGTTAAAATTTTGGTTACCTTTCTCATTTTTCAAAATTTTAAACCCATCTGCATGATCATGTCCGAAGTGCATGGCGACGATAATATCTGTAAATTCCCGTAGAACCGAGATAAGAGGTTCGTGGTAGATTAGATGCATCCAAATAACACCGTCGGGTGTGTACACCCCTGGGGGAATATGAGCTGTTACCAACACCTGTATGATTGCAAAGACATGGAAATTAAACTTGATTTTCATTGTTTTCTACTTGATTAATTTCTTAAGGAATTCACCAGACGCTGTTTCATTGAAATGAATCACAAAAATAAATGAAATAAAATATGTATACGGCTTATAAAATATTACGTGTCAACAGGCGTCTATATTGAAATTGAACACTTTTACCGGCAAAAAAATGGCACCGATATATGGGAGACAGTATACAAGACGGACTTAGTAAATAAAATCTATTTCCGTTAAAACTCGCCAAAAAATCCATTTTGAAATTATTGTGGTGATGCGTTGTCGGACTTTAGTCTTGTCGTCCTGTCGCTTACGATGCACGCCAATGGCGCGATGTCGTGCGGCGTGTTGTCGTGATGTCACATTGTCGCTCGGCTCAAATCGAAGGATTGGCTTTTTGTATATATACATGGATAAGCCAAGCGACAGGGCGACATCGCGACGACGCGCCGGACGACAACGCGCAGGTTGGCGTGCTTCGCTAGCGACAGGACGTCAAGACGAAAAGGCGATTACGATATGTTGTCGCTATTGACAACCACGCGCAATGTGTACAAAATCAGCCACCAAAAATACATCACAACTTGACGTACTTACAAAATTTGTTGTTGTATCTTTTAAGTTCAGTTCAGGATCTTAATTCTTTATATCCTTGGCCATCACATTATGTGACCTTATTCTCGTTTTTTTTTCATTGTAATGTTGAACTGACTGGACTCAGTATTTCAAACGTTGAACTGTTATAATGGTAATTGACCAACAATTGATTTTGGAAAATGCTTCGGAGAAAGTATAAATCAGTCTTAAATATCTAAAAGACTGCTCCACTCTTTTTTTATATATAATTTCAACGTTACATATCAATTCTGATGGATATTTACAGGAACTTCCTTGAACTACGGGAGTTATTAATCGTTCGTGCGGAGTAAATTATGAAATTAAAAGGAATTATGGCAAAATGTATACTTATTTTGACTTTCACTTGCTCATTCACTATCACTATAGGGGCATAATGTCACTTTGAACAGTGAGTTATGGCTTTTATCGCATTAATAAATTCCAGAATATCGCCGAAAAGCATAACAGCTTTAGGAAATACAAAAAAATGAGTCATTGCCTTGCATTATCAACTATACTATTATAATTGTTCTTTTAAAAGAAAATGTATACTTAGATGGAGACTAATTCGTCAAATGTTGTAAAGTTTCTTTTTTTCAGGGGAAGTAACTTTAAATAGAAATAAGGAAGAATCCTTAGATAACGTGTATAACGGCAAAATTTAAGATGTTGAAGGCTTAATTTAATTTAACCTTATCTAAAGGCAATGTAATGTTACCTTTTCCTTGTTTTGGCGAGCTTGTGAAAGAGAAGAATTAAGCCAGGCAATCTGGTCGGCTGGGTCTGTATAATTGAGTATAGCCTTGTTTGGTGTATAGTACAAATTAGTGTTCAAACCAACTATCCGGAGTCCAGAACGTGTCTTTTGTGTATAGTACGCCCCTTAAGTAAATACCATAAAATGATAGACATACATGTAATTACATCCAATAAGAATTTTGTCGTTTACAATGTGATTTTTCTTTTCTTTGTTCACTTCAAAATATTTTTCTTTTAAACACATTTTCAAAATGTTTATGAAAATCATGAATGCGGACGCATGTTGTTTTAAACGAAACCTTACAAATTGATTAACATTGTTATATGAAAGTGGTGTGAAATCTTTGTATTTGAGAATAGACTGGACGGTTTATCAAATTCAATAAGTTCATTAAAACACAAAAACAAAAATTAAATGGAAACGAAATACGTGTGTTAGTATCATTGTTATTTTCTAATTTCTATTTTCAACATCCTACCTTTTCTGAAATTGTCTTGTTGAGAAAGGTCATTTAGCCATGACCCCCATCTATCAAGGGTGTCGTTATACAGCAGATTATTGTAAGGTGGAAATTGGTTATATGGGAAGTAGTCATGGTTACCAAACGTCGCATACACGGGCACACTTGGTAACATTGTCTTAATGACGTCAGTAACGTTGTCAAGAATACCGGCGTTAATGTCATAACTAAGATCTTCGTTTTTGGCATGTAGAACTGTATCTCTTAGAAAGAAAGGAAGAAACTGAATGAGAAAATGAGTAGAAAAGAGGCATTGTGTCCCAATTTAAATCCACAAAACGTAACAAATTTAAAGCCTGTTTAATTTATAATTATAATGTTACTTTAAAAGTCTATACAATTATGAATTTTTCACACATACCCTGTCCAAAGGACAAAATCCACATCAGATTTGATGTCAGCCATTACTCGAACACTGCTGTTTACAAGTAACCATGGTGAGTCACACCAGAAATCCCCAAACTGACCCACGTTGTCCGGTAAATTCGTCTTATTGCAGGATAGTTGTCGACCGTGATAAGTAAAGTCATAATGAATGTCGGTTATATGCCAGAAATAACCTAAAAAATATAATTATTCTCCATGATAAAGTGATACATATATGATTCACTGTTTGTGAGTAACATTTGTATTCAGTTTGATTAAAATGCTGGTTGTTAACATTCCTAAAACTTAACAGAATACTACATTCTTCAATCTTAATCAAAACGGTCGGGTCTTATCGCCACATTCGGAACATCCTTGCTGACTACCCTATATCATCATTGTCCGAATTTAGACGGAAAGGGTCGAGGAGTTGCGGTTGGTTGTATCGTTATTTCATTAATGTAAGATAGTTGCACCGATTAAGATAGCAACTAAATTATTTGTATTTTTGACATATCTTTTAACGAAAGTCTTTTCTTGTTCAAACAAAAAGCAAAGAAATGGTAGCCATAATTTTTAACCTATGAATATTAAATTAAAAGAAATACAATTCACATATAACACTGATTTATCTATAATTAGATGTTTGTTTGTTTGTTTTGGGTTTTACGTCATAGACTGTACAATTTTGGAAGAAAATGGAAATACTAGAAGCTTTAAAGAACAGCCGAAACAGTAAAATTTATGTTGGTTTTGTATGATAAGCAAGCTACCTTCAATGCCACCTAGCTCCGGTCTTAAGCAGAATGCAATATTTAAACATGGTAATGGCGAGACTTTAAATTTCAGACATGCGAAGATGTTTTCACACAGCGGTGATCAGGGAACATTGCATGTGTCTCGTTTGTGCTCGGCTAGAGTAAAGTTATAATTTAATCTATATGTATTAATTTAAGTTAAATTAATTAACAAAACTTTTTTTGTAGATAGCATTAACGTTACATTAGAATATAGAATTTTAAAACACTTACCTGTGTCAGAAATAACCATCTGTAAAAATGTATAGAGTGAACACAAAATGTGGAATCCCTTCTTCATTTTCCCTTCGCGTGACTAACATACAATTAAAGGTAAATATTTAAAAGATAAACGAAGGCCTTGGTGAAAGTTTTACGACTGGTTAACCTCGTTGAAAAAATTGAAATGTCTAATATATTTAAGGCCGAGGAAAGAGATCGGGATTTTGTTCAAGATAACGAAAAACCGAGTTAAGCGATGTCAATTAACGACAATTGATTATATATACGTAACAAGAAAAGAATTGATGCAAAACACCAAAGGGCGTCCCAGCAAGGCATGCAGCAATTGACAATGAACTAGTAGACATCTGATGACCAGATAGCTTCTAATAAACTTTTCAATGGTTAATTTAATTTTACATACTTTTTCACAGATGAATTGGCGGACGCATTGTTCATCGTGAACTTTGGTATGTTTGCTAGATATTATATCATATGTATTTTGTTTGGAACATACAAAACAGTAGTTAAAATAAAGTCTGTTTTTATTATTATGAATATAAAAAATATACGCACATTATACACTCACAGACACGTATTACCCGGCACACTTACATTTTCTGAATTAAAAGGTTATTTGTGATCGAATTTTGTTCAAATTTGGACCATACAAAATTCAGCATATCATACTTACTACTTACAATTATATTTACAATTCATTGATAAGAAAATAGAAAAAATAACAAAACAAATTTGCTACTGCAAACTGAAAAATCACGTAATGGCTTTAAACATCGTAACAAAATGAAAAGACTCTAAATCACACTAAATCTGTAAATAAAGAGCTTTAATTAATTGATTTATTGGGAGATCTATCTACCTTTTTTGCATTTCTTAAAAAACCTCGCCTGGACCGCCAGTGTGTTTGAAAAACATTCCTATCATAAACCCATATAAAACTGCAGACAAAAGTTTCTGTTGTTAAATGTCACAGTATTCGGCAATTCAACATTCAACTCAACCCACCATGAAACGATTGCCTTGAAACAAAATAGAATCAACATCTTTCAGCCAAAATTCGTGAAATTTAAATATTCACGGTGGAAAATGTCAGAAGTGCAATCGAGTCGTAAAAAGAAAGATGCAATTAATTCGTGAAAAATGGTCTACGTTTATACTTTAAATAAATTTTTAGATAAATTGATAAAGAGTTCAATTTATATTTAAAATATGTCAGTATTTCATTTCCTGCTAAATTATCCAGCTCGTTATTTATTACTATAGCGCGACACGAATGACCGTTTCATTTAAATAACCATTTCACCAATCGGAACGTCCGGAAAGTTGCGATTGCCTTTTATTCACCTGAAGCTGTTGTTCAATCCCTTAATCAAAGGGGTGTATATTACTGATGATATCACACCGTTCAGATTGCGTCTGAAGTCTGTTGTTGCCAAAATCCCTGGAGTGGAGAAAACTTACTTCCGTGATGATACAGTTCACTGCCGTTTTAAGAACAATAATTTTGTGTTAACATCACCTGATGATATCATTAATAAACTGAAGGCGAATCTGTCTAAAAATATTCTTCGAGAATTTGGCCTTGAGCACTGTCTATAGGATGTCGAGGGGAATGGGTGAAATTTCGACCAGAATAGTGTAGAAGATGCGAACCTTAATGGCGATTCACAGAACTGTAACCCAAGTGTTCTTCATGAATGTGTTTCAGGAAAATATTTCTACTCATAATGTATTATTTGATAATGATTATCATATTTCTAGTGAAATTTCAGTACATACGTTAGCTTATGTAAATGTCTGTGGTATTACTTCAAAGTTATGGAATCCAGACTTTATTTCTTTTATTCAAGAGTACTATGATATTGTTCACTTTTCTGAAACAAAAGTAGATTGTTTTGATGACCCTATTGATAATCGGTATGCTTTTCTGGGAAAGACTCGAGATATTTATACAAATAAATCTGGCGCTGTTGGTATCTTTGTTAAAAATTCTCTTGTGAATAATTTACAAATCTTGGAGTTAAGTAATGAAAATTGTTTTTGGTACAAATTGAAAGATTCTAATAATATATTTGCTGTACCATCTGAGGGTTCTAGATATAGCTCTTTAGAAATATTTGATAAAATAAAAAGTGATATTTTAGATTTAAATGTACAATTTGATAACCCCCCTTTTACTTCATTTGGGGACTTTAACGCTAATTATTTACTAGCAAATTGTCGGATTATGTTGTATATGATAGATATGTTGCTGAACAGAACTTTGATAATAGTATAGATAAGTATGTCTATTAGTAATTTAAGTAATGTTGGCATTCCATTGGAACGTTTTTCTGAAGATTGTAACAATGTCAATAACTATGGTCATCGTTTGTTAGAATTATGTAAGACTACAGGTCTTTAAATTGCCAATGGTAGATGTGGTAAGGACATCTGTATTGTTAAAATTCCTTTAATGATCAGAGTTTGTTAGACTATTTGCTAAATCTTTGAGGTCTCTGACTTTGATCCTATATTTTCAGATGTTCACAATTGTATAAATGTGTGATTTTAGTCATGTTATGGTTGAAAACCAAATAATTATGGAAGATGTTGTTGATGATTACAATGATAATTGCTATATACGTCCTGTATGGGATAATTCTGTTAGACAACAATTTGTAGATAGTTTAGCTTAACAATGAGCTGGTTAATATATATATGGTGCTAAGAATTTTAGTGATGCTTCTATGAATAATATTGCTGAGAAAGTCAAAGTCTCACAAATATTATATAAAGCTGCTGATAAATGCAATTTATTATTAGAAGTTAAGAATAAGCAATCAAAGAGTGTTAATAATAGAAATCATTGTAAGAAGAAGTGGTTTGATGATGAATGTTCAAGGGAAAGAAAAAATTATCTATCAAAGAAGAAGTATCATAGAAGGGTTCGAAACCAAAATAGTTTTGTTACCATGGTAGCAAGTAGTAAATCCTACAAAAAGACTCTTAATAAGAAGTTTAGAGATTATAAAAATGATATCAATAAAAAATTGTGTAATCTAAGGTCCTCTGATCCAAAGGCCTATTGGAGTCTATTCAAATAAATACATGTATAGCAATGATGGCAAAGTTGCCGTTTCTAAGATATCTAAGGAAACTTTCTATGAGCATTTTAGGAAATTAAACGAGGCAAATATTGTTGAAAATGACAATTTGCATACCAGTATAGATTTTGATAATTTAAATTGTAATAATACTGCATTGAATACACCCTTTACTGTGAGTGAAATACAAAAGATTATTATGAAAATGAAAAATAATAAAAGTCCCTCGTCTTTTGATAATGTTCTTAATAAGTGTTAAAAGTATGCTAAAGACGAATCTTTTCTTGTTTTGCTGTGTCATTTGTTTAATGTTATTCTTGATGCTGGTATATTTCCAGATATTTGGAGTCAGGGTATTATCTTTCCTATTTATAAAAATAAAGGGGATGTATGTGACCCCAAAAACTATAGAGGTATTGCTATACTTAGTTGTTAAGGAAAACTATTTACTTATATTTTAAATGAGCGACTCAATGCTTACTTAATAGAAAGTAAAAATCTACTTAATGGAAAGCAAGCAGGCTTTCGTAAACAGTATGGAACTATTGACAATGTACATTCTTTGAAACTAAAGAACAAACTGTATTGTGCTTTTGTTGACTATAGAAAAGCGTTTGATTCCATAAATAGAACGCATCTCTGGTACAAACTATTGTTGTATAATGTTGACGGTAAATGTTTAAAGATTATCTATGATATGTATGATAAAGCAAAGTCATGTGTTAAAGTTAATAATGAATTGCCAGATTTTTTAGTAGTAACACTGGTGAACGTCAAGGTGAAAATTTGTCTCCAATATTTCTTTTCTATATATTTAAATTATTTAACCAAGTTTCTTCTTCCAGTATGAAAGAGTTGTCTACTATGTCTAGTGCAACTGTTAATTGTCTTAGTGACGATACTGTTGATGTTTACCTAATATTATACCTGCTATTGTATGCTGATGAAACCATTTTATTAGCTTAAAAAAAATTAGATCTACAGCCATGTATGATTATTGTAAGTTATTGGATCTGAATGTGAATAAGGATAAGACGAAAATAGTGGTTTTTAGTTCACGTAAGCCTAAAAACCAGAATCTTAACTTAACTTACAATGGTAAACAGCTGGAAACTGTAGGAAGTTTCACATACTTAGGTGTGCTATTTAATTTCAATGGCAAATTTGGTAAAACCAAGAAAAAACTTGTTGACCAGGCTAGAAGAGCTATATTTTCTGTTATTAAAAAATCTTGAAAGCTGTTTTACCCATATCTGTTCAATTGCATTTGTTTAATACTATGGTTATTTCTATTTTATTATATGGTTGTGAGGGTTGGGGTATAGAAAATGTACAAATTCTCGAACAACTACAGTTACGTTTTTGTAAACTCATACTTACGGTAATTTGAAAAGGTCTACACCCATTTGTATGATATATGGTGAGACAGGATTTTGTCCTTTAGAACTGTAGGTTAAATAAGAAAATTGTGTCACTGGAGTAAGTTAATAACCTCAAAAAAATGATAAAATACGTAAAATATTGTATAATACAGTTCTCTCTTTACATGTTAATAAGTTATGATCTCTCCTTGGATCTCATTTGTTAAAACACTCTTGATGAGCTTGGCTTATCAAACTATTTTTATAATAAATTTATTGGTAACTTAAATAGTTTTAAAACTATTGTGAAACAGAGATTGAAAGACCAGTTCTTAAAGAATTAGAAAGGAACCATAAATGTTTAATTTATCGTGTGTATAAGAATTTTTTTTTCGACGATATTTAGATATATAACATTTCAATCTGTGTACTTTGTAAATTCAGAAGAAAGTTGACATTTACATGACGAAAGATATCAAAGAATATGTCATTTATTTCCAAAACGGTGAATTTCATTTCTTATTTGAATGTCACTTTTTTAATTCTCTTTGTAAAAAGTTTATTGATTCAAAATTCTCAAATCATCCTGATATTTATAAATTAGAATCTTTAATGAATATCTCTGACCATTCAACTTTATTAAAACTTGCATTATTCAGCAAAACTATTATTTCAAATTTAAATAACTCATTCTCCGGCAAGGCATGATTTTCTCAACCTGTATGAGTGTATTAACATATAAACAATTTAGATAACATCTGTGTAAGACAATCATGTCCAAAGAGAAAAGTTAAGTCAAATACCGATATGTGTTAGTCAAATTGATCTCATTATTATATAATTTTATGTATATATGTTTTGTTTATCACTTTTGAACAACTGTTCATTATATTGTTGATCTTTTATAACCTTATGCATATTATATGCCTTGGTTTTGAATAAAATTTTGAAATCTTGAATCTCATTCTATAAAGGGCATCACGCTTCGGGGCGCGGACGTTTTCGATTAACACATTTTATGTACGTGGTTATTACATAAGTATAGTCAAGTGTCGGTTGTGTGTAAAGTATTCGCCATTGCAAGTACATTTACAAATTAATCGAAAGGGGATATTGCAAATTAATTGTATGTCCCTCCTTCAACATCAATATTCAAGAACTAGATTATTAAAATGAAACATGGTATGAATGCAAATATCGTACATGTTGCTCATTTAAAGTAATCAGAGTCTGCCAATGCATTATTGAGCTAGTAAAGGTATCAATTAATATTAAACTTTCTATCTGGAGCCATCTTGACATTAAACTTTGTTTTATCTTGAGCCAGATGTTAAAACTGGTCAGTTTGATGTTCATAAATTTCAAATGAATTTACATGTATATATAAAAACACGTTTCATATCAAATTCAATCAAGATATTTTATTTATTCTCTTTTTATTTGTATGTTAGAATGGAAAAAGATTTCTAAATTACAATCTAAATAATGTATCGTGCGTTGTAGTATAATAGTACATGGTTTATCGTTCAAATGCTTTCATGATTATATTCCTGCGCATTTGCACTAAAAATTGAAATCTATTTCCTAATTATGAAATATGGTAAACAATGCGGTGTTCAATGAACGCAACCCCCACACGACCCACAAACTAGAAACAGTGGCAAGGAGCCCAGGGGGCCCCATTTGTTAAAATTATCACATGACAAAAGTGAATATGATCAGTAAGATAATGAAAGATTTAATCAACTACACGTACATGATTGAAATATTTCTGCTTAAATGTTGTTTTTATCATATTTACATTTTCAAATTATGCCGTTGCCGGATTATGTTTTGTCATTATGTAGATTATATATATTCCTACAACTATGAAATAAGAGAGTTGTCAAGTGTTCTTAATCTATTTAGATATGAATCGAGCAAAATATACAGCTGTCTCAGTTTTTCATCTTGTTAAAGATGCCAGGTATTCAGATTCTATAAACTATACAATGTCATGAAGCAAGGTTCCTGATTTCAAAAATGTGGCTTCCAATTAAGCACTAATTCAACAATACACAGAGAACAACAAGTTTGATTAAGATATATACAACGGCATTTGAAAGCGTAGATGCAGTTGAAACCATACTGGCTTTGCATGATTTGAAATTATCCATATCAAATTCTGTGAAGCCACAAATAATAGAAGAGTGACATTCCTCATTGCAAGCCTCGGCAAGATTTTCCGGGGGAGTAACTCTGTTAAACTTCCAATAATTCTTAAACTCGTTACTCGATGCTTCCTTCATTTTCTCTGCAAGATTAGATAAGTCAGCTGCAGTGAGTCTGTCAAGTCCGTAGTGTGAACTGGTCTTGTATTCTAACTCCCACATGGCGGCGCCATTTTTGTTTGCCTTTAAAAGGTCTAGGTAATGTTGTTCAATTTCAAGATGGATGCCTGTTGATCTGTCGTACTTTACTAGCCGGATGCCCGGATTATGTGCGGGACCTATATGTGACGGAATAACATACCTCCAGGGAGTGACTGACGGGGCAATAAAAATAGGAGCAGCTGATCCATCTATGAAAATAAATTGGCAAGCTTAGTAAAAGCAGAACCGGTAATATTTGAAATACATCAGTTATATTTGAATATTTAGTAGGTTTTTGGTGACTGAAATTCTATTTATCAACATCAAAAGAAATTAATTAATCTTGATTGAATTTGTTGTTATTCACCATAGTTATTAACACTGTATATTCAAATAGTAAGGATCGATGAAAATAGTTAATAAAATAATTGTCTTCATCTATGGCATTGGAGCCAAATTTTATGTCAAGAATTATGCGTTTCAATAAATTTAGGAAAATGTTTACCTTTATCATTTTTCAAAATTTTAAACCCATCTGCATGATCATGTCCGAAGTGCATGGCGACGATAATGTCTGTGAAGCCCCGTAGAACCGAGACAAGAGGTTCGTGGTAGACCAAATGCATCCAAATCAAACCGTTGGGTGTGTGTACCCCTGGGGGAATATGAGCTGTTACCAACACCTGTGTGATTGTAAAGAATAATAAAGTTGACAAAGAAATGCTTTTTTGCGTTTTTCTCATCGTTTTAGAAATCTTCTCAGGAAATCAATCTCGTCCTAAATTTCAGAATATCACCGTAGACCATAAATAGCCCTAGATCGTTATAAAAAGACCTTTGAGTCATTTCCTTTCGTTATTATATAGAGCTATTTAGTTTGTTGTATGTGTAACTAGGAAAATATCATAACAAATTTGAACCTATTTTGAACTGTTTAACATTGTTTATGCTTATTTTAACGGACAAACTTATGGGACAAAAATCTGATTTTGACTAACTTGTCCTTTTTTACTTGAAGCATTTCTTTACTTGTCCGTATGATACTTTTAAAGTAAATTTTAGAAAATTTCCACTTGTCCGTACAGGCTGTGGGACATCCAGGACAATACGGACAGTTGATTTTGCCGTCCATATGTGACATAAAGGGATGTTACTTTAAAACCTTGGACAATGTATCTGTCTATAATTACAGTTACCTTTTCCTTGTTTGTTCTAGCTTGTGCAAGAGTAGAATTTAGCCAGGCTATCTGGTCGGCGGGGTCTGTATAATTGAGTATAGCCTTGTTGGATGTGTAGTACAAGTTAGTGTTCAAAGCAACTATCCTGAGCCCATAACGTGTCTTTTTAGTATAGAACGCCCCTTAAATAAATACCATAGTTATGTTATTAATGTAATTAGATCCAATTAGGAAGCCAAGCTCTCTGTTCGACTGTTTTTAAGCACCTGAAAATGAATGATCTCAGAAATAAACTCTTGACTTGTACACAAATTTACAAGAAAGTCCGGTTTTACAACACCTTGTTCAGTAATTTAACACTTGTGATTAAAATAAAGAATGTGTACTTATGTTAATTACTACGCGTTTAACTTAAATCACAACGTTATAAATGCCGTACTATGTTTTCGTTTAAACATTCCAATGAAAAGAACTTAAATGAAATTCATACTTTTATTCTATAAAAATATTTGGATCCTTGTCGATTACTATATTTTGCCATAAGTAAATGTGGTTTGTTATATAAATGAGTTGTCAATCCTGTTTGTTAGTAATCGCAATGCTTTTTTAAATTTCATAGTTCATAAAAACGAAAACATTAAAGAAAAAGTTAAAAATTCTTTATAAGTATTTTAACGACAGATTTTATAACATCTGCACGGCAACATCCTTTCGGGAAACAAAGAGTTTGGTTGTTGCTGAGTTGCCTTCTTCAAGGGAAGTCTTAGTTTGGAAAGAACTGATGCCGTTGTTATAAAGACTTTTTTGCTTTTTATAGAGGGCCGTTCTGTAGAGGTTACGCTAAGCGTTAAATACATACTACAAATGAGCTTCTTACCTTTTCTGAAATTATCGTGCTGAGAAGGGTCATCAAGCCATGACCCCCATCTGTTAAGGGTATCATTGTAAAGCAGATTGTTGTTAGGTGGAAATTGGTTATTAGGAAAGTAATCGTGGTTACCAAACGTCGCATACACGGGTACACCTGGTAACGTTGTTTTGATGACTTCAGTTACGTTTTCAAGAATACCGGCGTTAATGTCATAACTAAGATCTTCATTCTTTCCATGTAAAACTGTATCTCTAAAATAGAAAGAATGAAAAGAAACATGTAAGGCCGCCCATTACAGTAAAAAGGAATTTATGGGCGGAACGGTTTAATGGATCTTTACCATGACAGCCAGTGAAATGAAAGCTACAGATCATGCTCTACAAGCACCGACCTAACACGACCTAATCACGTTGTAAAATATAAGACGTAGAAACATTTGCAGATGTGTTCATATAGCATTATTCATGGAACATTTAAAATAAGAAAACAAAGACAAAAACAAAAAGGATGGGTGACATTCAACGAGCGCATCCGCCAAAACATGAAACGAGGCATTACTTTCGTTAGGTGTTGGATAATGACTCTATTAACGATTTTTAAGTCAATCAAACTTACCCCGTCCAAAGGACAAAATCAACATCATATTTGATGTCAGCCATTGCTCGAACGCTGCTGTTTACAAGTAACCATGGTGAGTCACACCAGAAATCGCCAAACTGACCCACGTTGTCTGGTACATTCGTCTTATTGCAGGATAGTTGTCGACCATGATAAGTAAAGTCATAATGAAAGTCGGTTATATGCCAGAAATAACCTAAAATAAAAGATAATATTATAAAGTTATCGACTATGATAAAAAGTATGAGTATGATTACGTGACATGGCTTACCCGTGTACTTTTTACCTCTGATATTTATACTTTATATAAAGTAAATTTATCTGTTCAAAGAGGGCCTGGTCGCGATGATCGTCGGTTTTACACGTCGCCGGTAGTCGCAAATAATCGTAAGCTCTAGTGTGACTTGGGTTTAACATGACTTTATTGACTCTCTTTCTATTACATATATCATGTACGATAGTGGAGCGGGAAATAAGGTCTCTCCTGTCAAAATAGTGCAAATTGTGATACAAGCATGAAACTTTCAGGAAATCATCTTTAGACTATAGAGATTCCAAAAGTGAAGTGGGCCCAAAAATATCTCTGCTCATACAAGATGGCCGCCATTTTCAAAATGGCCGCCATATAAATTTGACATACATATTAGCTCATTCAGTGAAATTTTTGTATGAAGTTTATTGTACAAAGTAAAATTAAGACTGATACATCATATGATCTATGTGTAGTGAAATAAGTATATCAATATTATCGCTTGACCCACATATATTTGCTGATGATTTGAAATATAAACTAAATGTCTGTCAAAGATTATTCAAATTTCATGTTACCCATTAAACAATCCTTGACCACTCACCTAAGATCCACTGCAGGAAAATTGCCATAACGCTTTAAAACAGAAGTAAGATAAGATCATGTTAGGAGTATCAATTTTTTTCACCACATACAGTTATGATTTATGAACTATTTGTGAAGGTTCGCTTCAAAGGAAACATGCCCTATATCATAGGAACTGTTTCACACAAGAAGACTCATATAATTATATTTCTATACGAGTCCATATGAACTAAGTGATTTGGTCCTATGCCAATAATTCATAATTTTTATTGAGTATCACAGAGTGAATTTTCATAATATTTTTTCTGCTCTGGGAACTTTAGTTTTGGAGAAGACTTTTAAGACAGTTTTAAGTCTATGCAAACATTAGTAACATACCAGGGAGCCATTTTAGACTGCAGGAGCATGATTAAAAGGCCTGTCAATGGCTGCCATGAGGGGCACTTAGTTTTGAAAGACTTATATAGGAAATCACATGTAAGTCCTCTTTTGGAGAACTACAATGACTAGAACTTAGATATTCAATATTCCAGTAACATTGTCAAGTAGAGAAGACCTCTTTAAAAGTTACATAAAACTCTCTGTTCGTCACTTAGTGAACATAGATTTTACATAGTAAAATGTTTAAAAAGTCTTCTCAAAAAGCAGAATGCACAGAGCATAGATACTAAGCGTATACCATCATCTTGTGTCATGAATCTTGCTCATAGAGCCACCTTCTAGTGTTAAACTGAATGCATAAAAATTGTATGATGTCCTGCAGTTAAAATGGTTTTGAAATGGATATCACTTATTTTACACAGACTTCTGTAATAAATTTGTATTCTCTAAAACTACAGTAACCGAATAAATTATGTATCATCATAACCTTGTAATACTCTACAAATAGTTAAAAAATCATGGACAAGATGGTCAAAATTGATCATGCACCAGGGGTCACTAAGTTTATATGGACTCATATAGGAATATTAATACTTATTTAAGTCCTCTCATGAGAAACAATTCTGAGAAACTTGATATCAGGCTGTTTCTTTTAAAGCATCCTTACAATATTTCACAAATCATATATATGTTATGACAAAGTTGATACACCCAATAACCTACGTTTATAAAGAATTGTGACCTTTCCCCAACAATGGTGTGTGACTAATAGGGTCATCATTGCCCTGTTATTGAAATAAAAAATCGATATAATTAATTTATGAATTACAATTATTTTATTTTAAATCATCAAAAACTGTATGTAGGTCAGGTGATATCATTGATATATCTGTTTCACAACACATAGAATGAGATGCTGTGATAGTAGCCTTTTTATATATGCAAAAATTATTATCTTATTGAGTTAGCTTTAAAGCCATTTTCATATTTTCAATATGAAATTGTGAAGGAGTTAATAATATGCGTCAATGGACAACCTTATTCGTGTGCATGTTTGCTCTTTAAAGCATGTTTGTTGGCTTATTGTCTTCTTATATATCTTTACAATTAACAATTAATAAACAATATCAAAATATTGAAACCAGTAATATCACGCAACCAAATTTAATAACTGAGTGTATACTAATTAATGTATGTGCATTTATTGATATTTTAGCTCACCTACTTGACCCAAAGAAAGGCATATATTTTATAGCTTCCTTCACAATTAAACTAAAATGAATTCTACGGAAGCCCATTGAGGCCGTTTTGAGTTAGAAGTTTTAGAGCTTAGATGTTAGATCTTAGAACTTAGATCTTAGAACTTAGATCTTAGCCTCTTAGAGGTTTCCACATAAGCGGGAAAAAAACGCCATATTGACTGAAAGATAGACATGGAGATATTTGTGAGGTAACTTCTTATTATGTTTCTTTAATTTTTATACTTTTTTAACATTGCAGAGATATTAGCTATTATGTTAAAAGATAAGGTGATTATATCTGTATAATCTAAAAGGCGTGTTAAAAAGCAACCAATTTCAATAGGAGGCAAAGGCGGCTATTTAGCCCTTTTGCAAGCTATTTTAGACAAACCTTGCAACAAAAAAACCTACAATGACGACCCAATCGTCAAAGCTGATATATGTTGCCTGTATTTGAGTTAATTCCCTGATTGTAAAATTTGAATTGTGTGAACGGGCATTTTTTGGGTTTTGAAATTGTTTACAAAAAATTTAAATTTTTTTTTTCCTAGGGAAGAATTTTTCTTTATTCCTTTTCCCGGAGGGACCGGAAAAGGATGAAAATATGGACAGGTTTTTTGGTTAGTTTGTCATAAACCCAGTTCCATTTTGGCTGTGATTTTTTGGATTTAGCTGTCATTTTTCCAAAGGGGGCCCTTTTAAACCCAAGACTAGAACTTTTAAAAAATAACTTTTTTATAGTTGATTTAACAAGGGTTTTTAAACTAAACTGAAAAGCCGCCCCGCAAATCACGTACACTTGGGGGACAAAAGCAAGGGACCCAATTTTTTAGCAACCCCAGAGGAGTGCCCAAGGGGGGAAAGCGTCATACAAACCTTTGGGACTCAATTAAACAAATAAGGCATTTTACAGGAAATTTTTAATCAAAATTTCTTTGTACATTCATTTTTGGTTTTTAATTTTTTCAAGTTTCACGTGCATGTATGTTTTTTGAATATAACTGACGGATTCAGAAAACGATATGAAATCTTATTAAACTTTTAACTAAACGTTTTAAAAATAAGTTTTATTATTCTTTCGACATTACGACTAGTGAAGTTTTGTAAGGAGACAACCATTACAAAAGTACTAGGCGGCTCTGTATTTCCAATTTTTCTTTAGAATAATTCTTAGCAGATCATCCATTAAATTGCTAACCTCAGCATTGAGGTATTGTGAGTTGCATTTTTCCATTTACAACAATATTCACCATTTTATTATTATTATTATTTAAACATACGCTGATAGTTTGATGTTGACCTACATATATCATGATCTTTACCAAAAGTATTATTGTAACAGAGCTGAAGTATTAACTTTATTTTGAGTGTGTATGTGGGGGCATGCTATTCGACAAGTTCCTGTCGAGATTGTGATATTCTTTTTTCGTGATAAATGAGTGTCTTTTATCATGTTTTGCAGTTTACTGTAACTTTAATAAAGTTTTATGTATGAGAAGGCAGTTATATTTCCTTCCTTAAGCTCTTGCAAAACCGATTTTTAAAGTTCTAATGTCTAAGTTCTAATGCCTAAGTTCTTATATCTAAGTTCTAAGAACTAAGTTCTAAGAATTAAGTTCTAAGAACTAAGTTCTAATAACTAAGTTCTAATAACTAAGTTCTAACGTCTAAGTTCTAATGTCTAAATTCTAAGATAGTTGAACCTCGTTTAGGCCACTTTGTAGGTCTTTCACTGCCACGGGCCCCTTTGCACCACCTATTTAAAGCCCTTCATTTCAAACAATCAAGACGAGGTCTCCGCTTGGTTATACGTCGATTTTGTCTGCATCGCATTGTTAAACATGTTGGCCAGCACATTAAAACATGCGTCTAAAAGACAGGCGCACGTACAGAAGTATCTCGTGAAGTTCTTCTGATGCTGAAACTTCTTTGATTCAAAGCCCCCCCCCCCACACACACACAAACACGCACACATGCATACACACACTAACAAAAAATAAACGTCCTGCATAGTCAGAAATACTTTTGCAATCTGTGATTTGACATATCACTTAAATTTAAGGGAACATGCAACTATAGCCATAATAATGGCATGTTGTTTTTATAAAATCGCTATGGACTCTTTCATCATTTTTTGCCCACTTTACATCTAGTATTATAGCTTGTTATGCAACATTTGCTTGATAAGCCATTATTTGGTACGTTGCCAATGTGACAAACATAAAATTATATTATGCAACTAATGCGATTCCTTTTGAATATACTGATGGCTCCAATTTGTAGCCAAGAGCTGGTCACACCATCAAACATTTGTGCACAATTATGCCCCTTTTGTAACCTTATTGTAAAAATGGCAATTTGTAGACAAATCTTTGTCTTTAAATATACTTATGTAATAGTTATGGTAACCACAATCAGTAACAACCCGCTGATAATTTCATCAAATATTAATACAGAAGTGCACGTCGTTAAAATTAAGAAAAATGGTTATCTTAAATTTAAGTGGCCACTGCGAGCTGGACCTAGTAGAAATGGAAACACGGTAGGATATACCGCTTTTGCAAAGTACACATACATATAATTTTAAATGTAAAATAGACAAACAATTTGATCGGGACATTTATTGAAGCTCTGGTTTGTACACCAGACGTTCCTCATTAACAGTAACTTGAAACAGTTCAATAGGTTTTTCAACAAGATTCCTGGTATCATTTACGAAAATGATATATATTGGGGCAC